GTGCGGGGCTGGGGTGGTTGGGGTTCGGAGTGCGGGGCTGAGGTGATTGCGGTTCGGGGTGCAGGGCTGGGGTTCGCGGGTTCGGGTGCGGGGCTGGGGTCTGGGGGTCCGGGGTGGAAGGCTAGGGTTTGTGATGGGACGGATGAGATCGGGGGGAGGGGGTTGAAGTGGGAAGGCGGGGCGGGATTTGCGGATGGAGGGGAGGCGGAGGTTTGGGGGCTGGGAGAAGAGATTTGTTCGGAGGAAGGTGGGTTGAGAGTTGGGAGGGTAAGTTGGAGTTTCGGGAAGTAGGTTGAGAGGGAGGGGAGGGGTTGCGGGAGGTCAGGGAGGGGCGGAGAGTTGCAGGGAGTGAGAAGCTGTTAAAGGTTCCCATCTAAAAAAATTGAGACGCGGGCAGGAGCATGATTCTGGAATTTTAGCTTCCAAGGAACTGTTTTTACACAAAACGCATAAAAATGAAACCTCCCAGTGTGCAAGACCTGTGTTGACCGTAAAAGCTGCTGGATAAGTTAGAATATGAGCCCCTTTCATACGGTGCCACAATGCTAATTCGGCAAATCGGAGGTCGTAACATATAGACATTGCTACATTCCCGACAGGCGTGTTTACTGGTGCTGCAATCTGAAATTTCAATTATTAAAAAAAGTTTCGAAAATGACTTTTTGAATTTAAGAACTCACCCTTTTTTTAAAAAAATTTAAGAAAAAACATTCGCATTTTTTAAAACACCCTTAAATCGCTTCACTTCACAATGGCGTATTCTTCCCGCGACCAATGCGGCTAAAAAGCGTTCCACTGACAGAAGATGCGTGCTCACCATGCGGTTGGTAATTTTCTGTTCATTTCTTCTAGGAGAGGCCTCTTTTGTTCAATCCTTCCGCTCACCAAACAATGACTTCCCCTTCGCCCTTTCATGGCAGTCACTGACTACTGCACAAGGTGGGGCAATAAGACCGCACAGAAAATTCTATGGCCGAGGACTTCTGACGCAGAGGTATCTCAAAAAGCGCCACACTAACAAAAGATGGTCGTCAAAAAGCTCAGCTGTTGCCAGTCTTAAAGAGAATAAAAACTCACTTCGTTTCCTGGTCTTGAAAATTCGCTTTCCATTAGGCGCACTTTTCCAGGAATATCCACATCGAAAAGATGGAGTTTTCGGTAAATGCCACATGTTTCTCCACTGTCGTTAATAATCAGATGAGTGTTAAACGGTTTCCGCTGTCCAGCTGGGTCCTGAGGAATGAGAAATTATAAAACATGTAAACTCTAAATAAAGACAAGGTACAAACCCCAGTAGCTCCACGCTTAACAGGAAGGCACAATGCCACACCTTGCCCCACTAAACCCTGGAACTGTTAGCTTGTTCAGCGACTGGCAAAGCAGTGAATGCTGTGCAGTTATGCCCAAAATATAAAATGTATGCTGTGCGATGTGGTATAGGAAGGAATGTGGAATGAAGCAAATTAAAACATGAGCCCCAGTTACTCTGTGCATTCGCCAGTCCGCTCTGCAATGCTGGATTGGCAAAATAAAGCGAGACTCGGCTAAGAATCTCAAAAAAACAGTGGGAAACCTTCTCATGAAAGCCACCCAAGCTGAGCCAGAGGCCGTACTGCTTTGCACAACTGCGATAACGGCCAATGTATTCACCGCCCTCAGCCATTGCTAATGCTTCATTTTCTTCTCGATTTCGTCCAACGTAATCGAAACATTCCGGGAAAAAAACCATCTAAATATACGCAAGCTTTTTTCATGATATTCTAGTTTGACGAAACACACAGCGCAGCACAATCTCCAGCAAGTCTGACGATTTTTGCTATTCTGAATTAATAAGCCACAAAGATTTTGCGTTTTCCAACCAAATTTTTAACTTTACAACGCGAAACAAGACTTCCAACCTAAATTTCGCATCTCTTCACTAACATCCCGAAAAGCTCCTCAACTCGTTTTTTTGCTTTTTTTCATTCCATGCGCAATATTCTGATGTCCCGCGGAGTATTTTTTGCAAAAATAGGACCCTGTTCAAGGATCCGACATGGTGAGCAAGAAGTTGATTTTTTCTGGCATTTTTCTGAATTCTGGCAGAAAAAAAAGAACATGCTCAAAGCTAACTTTTGCGTTGCGTCCCTTGGCTCGTTCCATCATGCCCTTGGCCACTTTGAAATTCGCTTCGAGATCGTGTGTGGAAGTGAGCTGACAAACGGCAATCAACGGTCGCTCGCTCATTGTGCACAGCAGCCGACGGACAACTGCTGAGCCAAGCAGCCCAGGTGCAAGCATCCAAGTAACCGAGCGAGCTAGAGCTTTCAACCACAATACCTAACAACGACCACACCATCATTAGTACGAAGCTTAATAATCACACTATCACGCCATCACCACAAAAAACCTCAGATGCGACCACACGGCGGTCGCAGACTATCATTAACTATGCAGAAGTTGTAGGCACTCGAAAGTAGCCCGAAACGCAACACTTTTGTCAGTAATAATTACCCGGCGGCAAGACTCAAGAGGAACAGCTTTCCCAAGAACTGTTTTTTGTGTAACAAACTTCCGGCAGTCTAACTCTTTTGAGCGAAAGGCACGCAATACCAAATTTCCTTAAAAAAAATCATCAGTGGTGGAGAAAGTGGTTCTTTCGCGGGCATAATAGTGCAGACCGAGAGCAAGCACCACTTAACAACTACACACAAAATGGTCACTCCCCACAACGTGGGCGTACAATTCTCCGGAGATTACAAGAGCCCTTAAAACACAGGATCTACAAGATGGATTTTAACTTCTAAAAGAAAAAAAAAAAAGAAAAACACTGCGGAGGGGAGGAATTTTTTTCAGCGAAACCATACCTTTTTATATCACATCACCTTCAGACGCTAATTCCAGCGGCATGCCTGAGGCTTCACGTGTTGCACTTATCAAACCGAAAAACTCTTCCTGGAAAGGAACTGAACACATGGCCATTAATCACAGCATGCCCTCTTCTTTCTCCATTGCGAACTCGCTCTTTAACAAATAGGCTTATTCGCAAGGTAATCGCAGCATGGAGGCTATGCTGATGATTCTCGCTCCTATCCACACCCATTGTTCCGTCTGTGCTTACAGCTAAGGGATAAATCATGGGCCGCTTCACTACATGCTCTTGCAACACATAATAGGCTCGATAACTTTATAATAACATATATAACATTGTTACGCTTCAAAATGAATGCCAGTTCATCGAATCAAATTCATGTGGGGGAGCTTTTGGGCAAACAAAAGTGGCCCAGAATCGAGAGAAAAAAAATGCTGTCCTGGATCTGTTCAGGCACAATTAGCACACGCTAAATTTTAGCCACTTAAAATTTGGCATTCAAATTGCTCAAATTCAAGAAAATTCCTTTTTTACTAGTTTCATCTGCATTCTCCATCTTAGATATGCTCGAAATGGTGAGCAGTGAGAAAGCAAACAAGATGGATCTGCGCGATGCATAATTCTCGACCAGAAAACTCTTCCTTTTGCTTGGCATTTCCAGCAGCAGTTCTTCTTCCCTCACTGCGCTCCATCTTGCCATTGACAGAACTGGTAGTTTCTCCATTCTTCTCTATTTTTTGCCTCAGATACTGTGCTTTTAACATTATGGCCCCGACAGAGCGGTAAAACAGACAACGCTGATCGTGCAAAAGAGACGAGTCCACGAAGGATGCCCCTCTCCCTTATCACCCGCCTTATCAAATCTCCCAAACGAAACACGTCACAATGCCCCCGAATGCTGTATATCGTCAGCATATCGACTCTGTGCCAGCCGTACATCCAGAAAAACGGCTGGTTCTGGCTCGGGTTGCGAAAAGGGCTAGGAGATTTCAGGATGCGCTTCATGTGCCCGCATTGGTGACGGTGTTTTCTTGTTGACATGCATGGAGGAGGGAGGGGGGAGGGGGAGAGGGTTATGCTAGTGTATTAGCTGTTGTCCGACCTTGCATCCTTATTCGCAGTGGCTATTCGTTGGCATTTTTCGGGTACCCTTGGCTCTTCTGGGTCGCATGAGGGGTGAGCCCCTCCCCCCTCCTCTCCCTCATCCCCCGCCCGTTCGCTGGTTTCGGTAAAACTTTTGCAAAGAGCTATCAAGTTTTGTTCAGAAGCGTTAACGGCTATTAAGCTTTAGTCACATAAATCCATGAAATATTAGGAGGAGCTCGAGAAGGACTGTTGTCCGTGTTAGCTATTTCTTAGCCTTTTCTCGGGCTGACAGCACAAAATATATTATTTTGCTTGTATGTGTGTGTGTTTTCAAGCGACTGATTTGTTCCATCGTTGCATCCCTCCCCACCGAGGATGCAGCACCCGTATTGCTTTGCACTTACCGGATCCGCAAAAATCTGTAGATATGTATTGAAAAGGGGCCATGTCTTCGCTTTACTTTGGTGCCCTCAGCACTGTTTTACTACACCCTCCAGTAATCCGCTCTGTTCATCTGTTGTCTCTCATTCTCTTCATATGAACATCTATCCTGCTTCCAAATGCTATCTTTCCGCAAAAGATTTTCACGGCCGTATACGTGGGAACCACGCATACCTGGAGGCTGGATTTGAAGTCGTTTAATTGTACGTGGGCAGGGAACATCGCTCTCGGCTTTACCTAACTAAGCATCAGCTTCAGAAATGGGGAAGTCCTTCACTGCTGAAGGGTTTTTCTTTTTGTTTAAAGCTTGTCTGCAGTAGGGAGCTTCTGTATTTATGAATCTGATGCTTAGGTAAGGCTGAGAGCTCGCAGGTTTACCTTCGCAGCTTCACGTTATTCTTGGTCAGCAACATTTTGGTACACGCTACTACACAGTGAGTTCGTATCTTGTGGTTATAGGTTTGGGCTTGTCAAATAAGAAGACAGAAAAGGAGTCCAAGAAAATAAGTTAATTCGAGTGGGGGCGATTCAGTGATAATGCAACTTATCCTAATGGTTGGATTAGAATTGTAGTTAAATGATTGAACTATTCACAGGGCAACAATCAAGAGGACCGCATGCTCGCCCAATTCTCTGTTTTGCTGTGTTTGATCGCTGCTGCTTCAGGTAAAAAAATTTCTTCAGTCAATTTTTAATTTTCGAAAATCTCTTTGTTATGGGCAGACTATCGCGGTTGCTTACTTTCGAAAACTTTCAAAAGCTTTGGGGCCATGCGAAATTCAGCATTTTTTTTTGAAGGGGGAAAAAACCAAGACACCTTAGCTGAGCACTACTGCTTATACTGTTACTGCTGCTGTTACAGTCGCTCTGTGAAAGCTAATCGTTTTAGGAGCACAATGCGAATCGCCCAAACATTCGGCGACGACTTTCTCGACCAACGATGCATTCTTCCATTTCAGCACAACATACATAATCGAATTCAGCCTCCAGTGCAGTAACGGTGTCAAGGTAGGTACCATTTTTTTTTTTTCGAATCACGAATCGATCGCGTGATTCTTCCTGACTGCAAGAACGGGTAAGAGTAACGAGCGAGCGAGCTTATGTTGTGGTCGTACACAATCTGTACATTTCAGGACACAACCATTTATGGTTTAGTAAATGGGAAGGTCCTGCAGGCAGCGGTCTCTGAAGAGACTTCGAAGCATCAAATATCCTGGCAGCTGGAACATGAGCAATCCCGAGCTCAGACGTTCAATGTGTTGGTTTATGATGAAGATGGTTTTGCCGCGTATAGGAAGGTAAACCGCTCATGACTTTTCAGCGAATCTTAGATATGTTCATATATTTCTCTATTACTTCCAAGAAGGCTCTCTCTTGAAATTTTTTTGAAATAGAATTGAAAATTTGGGGCGCATTTCAGGTTTATTAGTACAGTCACGTTGTTGAAGCACCGTGGTACTGGCCTTTTTTGCATGGTTGACCCACTGACGTATTAAAAGTGCAAAAAGATCCAAAGTGCTGTTAAATCTGATGCAATTTTTAAGGCTGAAAGGAGCAGTGGTGATGCTTCCAAAATCGAACCACTCTTCACTGTTCAGCTGAAACATCCGGTATATTTTTAAATTGGATATTTAAAAAAAAAGACTGAATATCGAAAAAATATCGTGCACAGAGATTTATTTTACTAAAAAATTGAACTGATTTTCAGTCCCGTAAGAGCTGAGCTTGGTACCGGTAGCTTTCATTATTGCTGGCCAAGCAGTTGCCTTTAGGACGTCGATGTTGCTTGTGCTCATTGACATATTTTATTTTCAGGGAAGAAGCTTGCCTGGTATTCGAATTCCCTTTCTCTTTCCCCCATCCCCCCCCCCTTCCCCTTCCTCCCACCTCTCTTCTCATTCCCTCATTCTCCCTGCTTCTCTTCAACAAAAATCGACCCAGTCCTTTCTTCGTAAGATGCAAAAGAATTGGATCAAGAATTAGATACTGGTTGAGCTGAACTTCGCTGAGTTTTAAAAGAACACTGATATGAGGACAGAAATTTTTTTAGACGTTAAATGACGATTTGTTGCATCGAGTGCCTTTCTTTTAGAAGCTACAGTAATTAGTATTTTTTGGCAACATTCGCTATAGCGGATAATCATTTTCGTGCAAGTGCTGTTACTTTTAAGAGTTAACTCGCTTTTCGAACGAATATCGAAGAAGTTTGCTTGAAATCCATCATTAATAACTGGCAAGAGATGCAAAACATACCACTGGCGCTGCTTGTCAGTGTTGTTTTCACCAGATATCACGCGACGAATTCCATTTCATTTTGTCTATTAGAAGACGACTGGTGCCAGTATTTGGATCTGTTATTCTGTAACTGTTGCACTAAGGGTTAAGAACGCGTTGACAGTCCAGCAGAGCACTGATTGATGGTTGACCAGCGTCCAGAGATGAGCTGTCAGCGTTGGGATTGTCCAGTAACATCTGTGTGAAACGAATTTATTGGATTAATAAAATGGCAAATTTTGAGTGGAAATACTATTGTTTCCAGGGTGTCTCAAGATCATCGCCGGTGGCATCCGAAACAGTGGTTATGACACTTGCTGTTGTGGCGCTCTACATGGCTTATCACTTCAAAAGTCAGCTGATGGCCTGAACATTTTTGTTGCAGCATGAAGGTTATTAACTGTGATAGGGTAGCTTCCATGTTCTTGGGTTTCGGTGTTCTGTCGGTTCGTCTTGTTGTTTTTCTTCCATTTTTTTTTTTTTTGGCTAAAATCTCTCAAACTGTTGAATTATAATGCAAAACAAATAATGAATATTTGCGAAACCAGTTGTACAAACATACTAGAGAGCAACCAAACTTTGTTTCCTTTTTTCATCTACGCGCGTTGTTCTTAGTTTCATGCTTTG